CAGTGTTCCATGTGAGCAAGCTGAGGCCATATCAGGAGAATGAGTTGGAAGGAAGACAACAGGATACTCCTCCTCCCCCTGAGGTCTCTTTGCGGGCATAACCTATCTCAAATCCTGCATGGTGCCTGAGAGACAAGTGTCCACACTGTCCATGATGTATGATGCCTTCCAGCACCATGTGGAAGCCAAGTCTGCCCTGCCTAACCTGCTAGCAGTGTTCCCTATTCTGGAACAGATGGCAGCCAAACAACAAGTATGCTGGCCATCATCTCCATGGGCAGTAGCTGTTTGCAAATGGGAAGGCATGCTGGGCATGGCGCTTTGGCAACAAAAAGTCCTTGACGATGACTGGGACAACAGACCCAGAGCACCTGCCCCCTCTGCCTCTCCCAAATGCAAACTTGAGCCATTTACCTGGCCATCATTTTCCCCATCCTCTCCCACAAAGAACTACCAAACATCTGAGTTCAGCACAAATTGCATTCTGGATAAAGGTTGGTGGCCTCATGGGCAACTTTGGGAGATAGCCTACCTGTTGCCAGATGGCTTCAACTACCCTCCCCTTGTTTGATTTCACAATCCCATAAGCTCTGCAATGCAGAAGAATATGCACCCAGTGGGTCGCCATCACTGGTCTCCATGACAATCAAACTGGTCAAGATATTCACCTCCAAACCAGTATCAGAGGGAGAGATCACCAGCTCCTTGCAGATGTAGAGATCATGCTCAGTACTCCAGGTTGCCTTCTCCCTACAGCCATTGAAGGCCATACCATAGCTGAAGCCACTCAGCCTTGCCGTCACCCCACAGCCATCACAGGCATGACCATACCCAAAGTTGTTCAGCTTCACCCTCACAAAGGCATCGCTATGTCCGCTACCCCTCTCCTGCTTGTGACATCACAATGGAAGCATGACCACCCTCCCTTCACCATGTCATATCTGAGTCTGTAGCTGCAGTGCCTCTTGATCATGCTCATTCCAATGCTGACAGGAAGAGCATGATATTGCAACATGAAGACCTCAGCAGAGAGATGGATGAGCCCATGGAGGTGGTGTCAGAAATGGAGGAGATGAAGGCAGAGCTGGAACAGGTGACACAGGAGCTGGAGGAAGTGCAACAGAGGCAGAAGGAGCAGCAGCAGCAGCGACTGCAGGAGCAGGATAGCCAGCAGGTCCGGCAACAGCTGCAGTGGGAGAAGCTGCAGCAGGAGCAGAAATAGGAATGGCAGGAGAAGGAGTTGTGGTTCCTGGAGCAAGAAGACTCCCCAGAGCAGGACACCATTATGGACATCAAGGTGGCTGCCATCATGGAGCAGGAGGGACCAGAACAAACCTCTGTGTCTGAGAATGCTGCCCCTCCCCTCCCCCCTCCTCCTGTCAGTGCTACTCCTGCATTCCTGACTCGATGCCTGGTGTCACCAATTGACTCCCTCAGCTTGTACCACACTCCCAGTCCTGTCCCTGTCCTTCCAAGATTGCCTTGCCCTCCAACACCATCTCCCCCTCCAGTGGTTGCCATTGTGGAGCAAGGGGAACCAGAACAAACCTCTCTGTCTGGGAATGCTGCCCCTCCCATCCCCCCTCCTGTCAGCACTACTCCTGCATTCCCAACTCAATGCCCGGTGTTGCCAATTGACTCCCTCAGCTTGTACCACACCCCCAGTCCCATCCCCATCCTTCCAAGATCACCTCACACTCCAACACCACCTCCCCCTCCATCTCCACCACCACCTCCACCACAGCAAGCCTTTTGGCCTCCACCTCATAGGGGTTCACCTTACTGCCCCTCTGATCCCAGCACTTGCAATGATGATAATCCAAACTGCATACTGCTGCCAGCGCTGGAAGATTGGAGACCTCTCATTTCCAATGAGGGGGGCTGGTATAGCTACTGGTTCCCTATGCCTCCTCCTCCTCCTCCTCCTTGTCCATTGGAGTTCTGGGAGGATCCAGCAGTCATGAACCTGGAACCTCTCCCCCCTCACCTTGGTTTTGGCAAGGTGAAAGAACCTGTCAAGAAGCCTGCCCCCCCCAAGAAACCTCTCAATGAATCCAAAGACCTTGTTGTTTTTGATGAGAAACTGGTGTTGGTAAGTCAGTATCCTCATTGTGCCACCTGATAGCTCATGAGGGACAGTAGCTTCATTCTGATGACTGGCATCTGCCTGTTGGCATCATTGACCTCACCATCAATCATGGTCATGGTAACTGGGATGAACAGGTATTCAAGGGAGCAAGATGCCAGGTTTCTCTGGTAGCTAAGGACATCCAACAATTCAAAGATACCATTGGCTGGTTGAACATCTGGAACATCAGTGACACAGTTGTACTGTTCCAACAAGGTTGGCCTGCTTCCAACCCCATAGTTCCCACCAAGCCCCCCCCCAGCAAGAAGAATGGAGAGGCTTTTAGTTGCAAAGTCTTCTCCTCTTATGCGTGGCCTGACTTTGACATGTACTTGAGGACAAAGTGGATGGAAAAGCACGTTGCTAAGAAACTCCACCAAAATGTGTTTGATATGGAAGCATGCTGGGAACATTCAGAGTGGCTATTCCCCCTCCACATGGTGAATCACTGGGTTCTGGGGCATGTGGACTTTGTCAAATGCTGCATCATTATATATGACTCACTGTGTTGCCATTGGAGGTTGGCTGTTATGGTGCATCCTCATATTTATCTCACATAGCCAGTACTGATTAGACATGCAGATGATAAAGCATATGGTGACAGCAATCACCAAGGAATCTTCCCAGGACTGGCCTGGGTGCTTATGGGTAGGCTGGGAAGCACACACAGCCTCAGTATGTGTGTCCACCCCCCTGGGGCAGAGAATATTGTTAAATATGATCTAGGTCCTGGAACAACAGAATGGCCATGATTGTGGGTTGTGGGTACTAGCCCAGATAATGGCAGTCATGCAGGGTGTTGACCAGATGTCCATGACTGATGCAGAGATGCCACAGTTCCATCACTGGTTACATGACAACATGGAGAGTTTGCCATATGCACCAGTAGCACCACATGCACCAGCAAAAGAGGAGAGTGCACCCTTGGACTCGAACAAGACTGTGTTAGAGTTGGTGGACTCAGACGAGGCCATGGATCTCAATTAGGTAGTCATATATACATTACTTACAATTATGCTTCTTGCTCTAGAGAAGTGGAACACTTTTTTCTGGTACATACTATATTTTGTAGTATTAGGAATCCATACACTCAGTACCCCCTGCTCTCTCAGCATGACTTTCAGCACTTGAAGCACCTGTACTGAATAATAGGAGTTCAGGCTCTTGCTATCATGATACCCAGCCAGGACTTCCAATAACGTCAAACCCGTCAAACAACAGCAGCGATCCACTCCCCAACTCTATCCTCTTCCCTCCTTCCCTCCTCCATCCCCACCCCCAGGCCAAACTCCCCTTTGGTCGCCCAAAACCCGCGTATCTCCTCCCTCACCCCGCTCCTCAGCGCCAGCAAACGCTCGACCTGCTTCGCCCCCTCAGCTCTGGAGGCTTTCTCCCGCTCCTTGTCTTTTTCTTTCTCCTTTTCTTTTTCTTTTTCTCGTCCTCCAGGGGCGGGAAGAGGGAGAGAGGGGAGTGGGACTGCTGGAACTGGCTCGCCCCACGCTAGGCTGACTTTGCTCCCCGCCACAGCGGGTATCTCATTCGGTACGATATCCAGCAACGTCCTCATATCCCTCAGCTCCAGAGGCCGATGTCCCTCTTGTTCTTTCTTGATCTTATCCCCAGGCAGAGCATGCGCCGTGCGGATACTGGCGAAGCTCAGCGAGGGCTGGGTGAGTGCCAGACCGCGGGAGACGAGTGTCTTGAGATGGCTCTCGAGTGCTGCTGTGAGGAGGGGTACGCATTCCGGGGCTACGCCACCGGCGAGCCCGCGGGAGAGGGCGATGGAGGCTAGGCGTTGTTGGAGGACTTGGGCGGCGGGGAGGGTGCGCGTGTGGGAGGAGAGGAGCGTGGAGGGGAGCGTGTGTGCTGAGTAGGCCGCTAGGGGGGGATGTTAGCTTGTGGGATGGGGTAGGGGAGTGGGAACTTACTGCCTGGGATGTACCTCACTCCCCGCTCTGCTCCGACTTCGGGAGCTCGGTATTCCTCCCCTGCCTCACCTACGAGCGCCTTTAACCGTTCCCGCTCTGCCCGGCCCATGCCCACCACCCACTCGCGCATCCGTTTACTGCGCCCGCCGTACTCTTCTTCCCCGGAAGTGCCTTGATACGGGTAGATACGCTTGCGTTTGCGTGTTGGGGATGTACCGGGAGGGGGGAGGGAGAGGTTGGAGAGGGCGGTAGGGGAGAGGGAGGCGGTGCGTAGGATGGAGAGGATGAGGGCATTGTGTAATGCCACTACCCAGAACGCAAGAAGAATAACATTAGAGACTTCCTAGCTTCGTCGTTAGATATGATGGCACTCACGAGCCTCGGTAGACTTCAGAACACCCTCGAGAACACCGTCCATCTCCTGCCTCATGACCCGTCCCGTGAGAAATATGGTCACAGCCTGGAAGTACCTCGCTGCATCCGCACCGAGGAGAGCAGTAAGGCGGGCTTTTATACGTTGTGTGCGGAGGGGTGGGGTTGTTGGTCCTGGATGGGGATGGGGATGGAGGTGTGCGTGCGGGTGGTGCTCGGATGTGTGGGGGAAAGGAGGATGAGGATGAGGGTGAGAATAGGGGATGAGGGAGGATGGTGGGGCGAGTGTCATGGTCATGGTAGTTGTCATTGTAGGAGAAAGCGATGGAGGGAGATGTATGGGTGATGTGGAAGTGAGGAAGGTGGCGATTCACGTGATCTATTCACCGATGAATCTAAACGCCGTCCAATAGCCCAGATTGGAACGACGCTCACAACGGTGTATACTCACCTCTTCACAGCGCAACAGTAACAAGCGACACCACCACAACAACAAGATGACGACGACGCCACCTTTCCCTTTCTCACCCACTCCACCCCCAAGCACAGATCTACCAGACCCACCATCTCTCCTCCTCCACCCAATCACCCCAATCTCACCTCATCGCACCTCTCCCTCTTCACCCCAAGGGCCAACTCCCACCAACCCACCACCTCCCGCCCTCTCCCAACGCCCAATGACACCCCGCGAACCAACCTCAACCCCCTCCTCAAGCTCATCATCCATCTCTTCCCCTCTCACAATCCCCCCAGTCAGCACACTCACCACACTCCGCCCGCTAGGGGGAAGGAGACGCAGCAGCCTCCGTCCGGGGTTCTGGATCCCTCAAGGCAGTTTACTGAGGAACGAGAGTAAGGACCCCTCACTCCCCGGGTCGGGGGCTCAGACACCCATGTCTGCCGACTCGCTCAAGATACGCGACCCGGCGGCGATGTCTGTCTCTTCTGACTCTAGGGCGGGCAGTGACTGGGGCGGGGACGGGGGCGACCAGGACCAGGATCAAGATCAGGAAGACGTGTTTGGGTTTGGGGAGAGGGAGACGGAGGGTATGAGCCTCGATGAGCAGGAGACGTTACGCGCTGCAGGGAGGGAAGAGAGAAGGAAGCTCGAGGAGATATTCGGTCATCCCAGGGAGGGGGAGGGGGAGCCCATGAGCCCCGATATCAGTTCCAGTTCTGTGCGTTCCCATCCTTGTTCCTGCTCCTCTTCCCCTGCCTCTTCCCGTTCCCGTTCCCGTTCCTGTTCCTTTGTACCACTACTGACGCCCCACAGCACCCCCGCCTGCCCTACCTCGCCCGTGTCACCCGCCTGCTAACACTTGAGACCTCCCCCATGCCAGAAATAGAGTCCGAAGCCGCTCTCCAGCGACTCATGTCCTCCGCCTCCCTCCCCCCCACACCTCTAAGCAGCGTATTCCGCAAATCCCACTCAGGGGTACATAACCGGTTTCCTGAGAGCGCGGTCCTGGAGGAGAGCGAGAGCAGTGAGAGCAGCGATGAGGAGGAGATGGAGATGGCCAAAGCGGCGGTGGTGGATGAGCTTGGACTTGGGCTTGGGCTGGGGTTGGGGGTGGGCGCGAACGCTACTGGCGGGAGCGGGACGAGTGCGAGCGCTACCAGCTCAACGTCTCTCCCTCTTCCTGCTATTTCCACCGGCACCGGCACAGGGGCAATCCCCATCCCTTCAGCAGAAGAAGACTTCCCAGACGACATAAGCATGAGCGAAGGCAGTATCTGGGGGATGCGCGCCAGTCCCATCCTAGAACGGGCGATGTGGGCCCGCTCGGGGGGGATGGACCTTGATGTTCCGCTTGTACGTCCTTTTTCCTTGTTAGCTGTTAGCTGCGGAGAAGGGCTGATGGGGAACAGCAAAATTTACCGTCGCCATACCGGTTGACTCCGCCGCCGTACACGAGGAAAAGGAAACGTTCGCCATCCCCTTCCCTCTCCACCCAATCCCAGCCTCCGACCCAAAACCAAACCCAAAATCAACAGCAAAAAGAAACCCAAACACAGCCAATACCTATCAAACGCCCGCGCCTCTCCCACCTCTCGACCCCAACCAACACACCCCTAACACCACATTCCCTCCTCCCGCCTTTCCTCCCTTCCTCACCCACCACAACCACGACCACAACCGCCGCCGCCGCCGCCGCCAACAACAACAGCAACAGCGCCACCAACAGCACCACTGGTAGCACGACCTCCACCCCCGGCCCCCTCCGCCCTCTAGCGCTAAACGGAGTAGGAGCAGTAGCCAACTCCTCCCCCCGCTGGGCCCGAGCAGGGCTAGGCGGCGGCCTAGGGCTAGGGCTGGGGTTGGGCTTGGGAGGGAGGGGGAAGGAGCTGGGAGAGAAGGACAGGGAGAGGGAGAGGGAGCTGGAGGCTGGAGAGGGGGTTAGGAGGTTGAGTTTGCATGAGTAGCGGCTGGGGTTGGGGGGGGGGGGGGGGGGGGGG